AGCCAGGAGATTGGCTAGGCACTCACTGTGCTAGCTCATGGGTGCCTTCCAGAACTTTCCTTAGTTCTAAGCCTCAGTTGTCTCAAATGAGGGGGCAAGGACATGTGATGTGGGAGTTCCAGGTTGCTCGCATGCACCCCTGTCCTTCAGCCCAGAAGGCTATGCGTGCCCGGCGTCACCTGGGGTACCCAGCAAACATGAGGGCAGTGGATGGGTCAGGAGAGGGGTCAGAGGGGCAGGATATCAAGGAACTGGACAGAGCACCTCAGCCCTCTAGAGACCACATTAAACAAAAGGTGCTGTGAACAGAGAAAGCTTCCCAGACTCAGGAACAATCCGTTCTAAGAGTATATAATCTGTTATCTTCCTGTGGCCCCTTCCCTGTCAACAAATCACCACAAAGGAGCGTCTTCTCTCTGGAAAGCCCCAGGAAGCACCCACCCAGCATTGTCCGGTGTAATTCTCACATCCCAAAGAGGGAGGTGCTGGCAATGGCTGCATCAGCTTGAGGCAACTAAAGCTCCATATGGAAGACTAAGGACCCAGACTCGGAAGACCAGGAGGGCTGGATTGCAAACTTGCTGTCACTGAGCCCACAACTAGGCTTTGGCTGGGTGGCGTCCTATGTCATCACAAGTGTAGCAATAGTTATCGAAACTAACACAAATTGGTGCTAACTCAAGCTAGCTAGTAACCAAGATTCCTGCCCATTATCAGATTACAGCTAATATATTAGGAGGCTGCAGCAAGACCATCTTTCTAGCTGTGAGCCACTGAGGGCCTAGAAGGCATTAGGTTCTGCATATATATTAGCTCTCATTTTCAGAACAATACAAGGTAGGGGTTTAAATCATCCCCATTTTACAAGTGAGCAAACCAAAGCACAGGCTGGTTCCTGGCTTGCCCTGGGTCACACAGCCAATAAGCACAGGTGCTGGGTCCCTACCCCAGGCAGATGCTAAACTCGCTCTCCTCTCCACTAGATCATGTTGCTTCCTTCACTGGACATCCTGCAGTAACAATAATTTAAAATGACAATGCGTTAGCCAACAGGGCAGCCTGAATGTTACCTACGGTGCACATGTAGTGGAGGCAGCCGAAGCACGAATCAGTGCTGAGGACCCCTGCTGAATAAAGCCCTGTTTTCCTAGTGTGCATCTGAAAGTACCCTGTCATTACAGAGACTGGAAAATATCAGAAAGAAACGAACAAAAAGCTGCAGCAGCAATCACATGGTGCAGACGTAGCCCGGACACAACAGACAGGCAATCTCCAGAGACTCGAAATGCTCGGAATGAAGAAAAGCACCGCAGTCCAGTCCAAGAACTGGCAAGGCCCTCTGGATGAGTACACGGAAGCAATAAAGGGGCCATGCCAGGAAAATGAAGACAGAGTGACTGGCTACCCCAAGTGGGTGTGGGGGTTAAATGCAGCCTGGGTTCAGTGTTAGGACTCAGGAATGCTCTTGCTGAAAAAACCTGGATCTTGGATTAGAAAGACTGAAAGGTTACCAAGGCAACCACAGACTCACTTCTTACCTTGGGGCCAGCTCCCAGGCCATCTCCGTCCAGTTTAGTCATGCTTTACATACATGACTTGCTGGGATGTACTTGGCCCCTCAGAATACGGACTGTATCCTGACATCTGGGCAAGGTCAGTATCAAAAATCCTAAATAGCCTTATCCTATACAGTCACCCATCGCTTAACAATATTTTGAACAAACAGAACACATATAGGATGATGGCCCAAAAGGCTATTCCGTTATAGCTCAGGTGTGGAGGAGACACAAACATCCAGGTGTATGTAATTCCACTCTATGATATTCGCATAACAAAATCACCCGAAGATACATTTCTCAGAAGGTATCATACGGCTGTACAGTTGTCCTTTGAGTGACATGAGTGACATGAGTTGGAACTATGCATATCCACTTATATACAGAGAGTCTTATAATAGTCAAATTAAACTTAGGGTGTGGAACATTCCAGTATGGCACTGTAAATGTATCTTTTCTTCCTTATGATTCTCTAGAAAACATTTTCTTTCTTCTCATTTACTTTATTGTAAAAATACAGTATAGGATACATATAACGTAAAAAGTATGTGTTAACTGACTGTTTATATGATTGGTAAGGCTTTCAGTCCACAGCAGGGAAAAATGTCAGGGTAAGTCCAAAGTTATATTCAGGTTTCTTGATTGTACAGAAGGTCAGCACCCCTAATGCCCACATCATTCATGAGTCAACTTTACTTAGAAAAGCAAATTTCTTATTGATTTATTCCTTTTTTTTTTTATCCATCCACTGAAAGCCTGTTGTACCAGTCACTGGTCTGTGTGCTGAGGACATGATGAAGAATAAAACAGATAATCTCTCCCTCCATGGAACTTAGAGGTTAGTGGGAAAATTGGAGATTTCAGCAAATAATATCCTAACCCAGATGTAAACTCATGGCTGTAATATTTTATTAGATTAGGAATTATCCTAAAGAGATAATCAAAATAGTGCTTATTCTTCTCCAAGGTCTGAGGAACTGAGCATAAGAAAGGGGGTGCAACTTTCCCAGAGTCACGAAGCCCCCAAGAGGCAGAGCTAGGAGTCTAATCCAGCACCATCTGAGGGAAAAATCCCATAGACTTGGTTTCTTCTTTCCTAGTTTCTGCCCTTTCTTCTTGGATATCTGAGATTGGGTTTAAGTTCCCGTTCTTTCATGCAGTCTTTGACCAAAATACTTCAGTACCTTATGCCTACAAGTCATTGGTTTGGGAAATTTGTTACACATTTATTTTAACACCAAGAATCAACAGTGATTTTTTTTCCCCTAAAAAATACCTGAGCTAGGCCCTCCCTGGTGGCGCAGCGGGTTGGAGCACAGCACTGAGAATCTAAAGCCGCTTCCGCATGGGTTCGATTCCCGCCTGCCCCGGAGGTGACCACATGGCGTGGCAGACCTCTCCTGACCCGCCCGCTGCTCCCCTCAGCAGTGTACTTCGTTGATCTGCCTGTTCTGTTCCCCACTCTGTCTCTGGTGAAGCCTCTCGCCGCCCCTGAGCCTTTGGCCTGTACCCCAGTTCTGTATGCACAAATAAATAAATCTTAAAAAAAAAAAAAAATACCTGAGCTAAAATTAAAATAGTATTCTGGATGAAATTTCTACAGGTTTAGTATCATTAGTGCAACAATGGCGCTCCCTGGTGACTATTATTGTGTACTACACTTCCTTGACACGAGAGCATTTTGAAGAAGGTGGCCACCTGCAAGTTTGGATGGATAAGAAGCCCCTAGTTTTGATGACCTATGGTCCTCATCTCCCCATACCCAAACCATTCATATAAATTCCGGAGGCAAGGTCACAGGTATAGCGTTCAGTATCTTCTCATGGTTCAGAGTTCCAGCAGCACGACCTACAGTGAGATTTGCCAAGGGGTGAGCCATCTACCACCAAGCTGCAAGATCCCTCACCCACACAGGTCATGACAGATTAACCCTCCTGCTACAATTCTTTCTTTTCTCAGTGCCGTGGCCACAGATGACCCATCCCCCCTCTTCCTGTCTCTGATCCTATCACACAACACCAGGAAACAGAAAACTAAGCTTTCACTTTGAGCTAGGTATTGTGCAGTGGGCTGGAGACATAGCAGTGAACAAGTCATAGTCCCAACTCTAAAGTTTATGCTCCAGCAGGGGTAACAGCTGGCCAATTAGCTGAGACATCATTAACTTTAAATACAATAATGGCAACAAGAATGAGGCTCCAGCAGACACAACTGGATTAGACCTGAGGGTCAAGTGTTTTCCCTGAAGTAGAATAGAGTCCAGGCAGCCCCACCTAGGTAGGCTTCTCCTGGAGCTACAGGAGAAGTGGGGCCAATTAGTAGGAACAGGCATTAGGTGATTTCCAAGACGGTAAGGCATTAGGAGAGAATATTCCTCATTAATCTAAACAGGGGAAGGTTGAGTGTTGTTAGAGGATGAGTCTATACTCACACCTGAACATTTATTTTGAGAGTTAAACTCTTTGTGTGGGAAGCATTGGAAGGGAGAGCACTTCCTTTCCAGGGAGCCAAGGCTGTTGACGAATTTATTTTTGCATACCCCCACTGCTTATATATGATGAAGAGATAACACTCACCGAATTGGCAAGGCTGTGGGCAGCAGTTAATATCTGACAAAAGACTGAGAGGAAGAGAGGGTAGTGGTGGAGGATGGGGTTCCACTGGAGAACTGTGACTACAAAAATATCAGCATAAAGCCTTACCTTGCATGAGATGCCAGGATGCAGTGTGCCTTTACCAAACATGGCAAGGCTGGATTCAGGAAACCAGTTTAAAACGTCCTCTTCTGCCTTTGTGATCAGGACAGCAAAATCCCTGTGTCACTACTTCTCTATGTGTGTAATAGTGGCAATAAAGGTGCTGCTTTTATTACCATAATCATTGGCAATATTTAATATCTGGGAGGATTAATCACACCCGTGAGAGAATTCAGTGAGACTTTCGTTTCTCCTTGCAATGTTGCGTTATTTTACAGCCTTATAAAATACGTATTGTTATCAAAATCGTTAAGAGGGAAAATAAAACCACACGTGGAATTAAAAATTGGAAAGTTTCCCAAATTTCCAGGATCAAATGGTACCAGGTCATGGACTTGCATGTTTAAAGCACAGATTCCTAGGCCGTGAAATACTGAATCAGAACCTCTAACTAATAAATGTGTTCACCTATACCTTTAATTAGCCTCACAGATGATTCTTATAATCAGGCACTGTTGGGACACGCTGGTATACAGGTAGGCCTTGTAGACAAGGCCAGCTCAGGTAGCAGCAATCACGAGGCCTGAGCCTACAATTCCCACAATGCTCTGAAAACCAGGGACGAGCGAGTCAGGAGCCTGCCGGGAATTGTAGTTTTCGTGAGTCAGGCTTTTGCCTATAAGAAAGCGGGAGATGACAGTCGACAGCCTCCCGCCCCACAATGCAAAGGTCCCAGATAACGTCATCCTCAGAGCGCCTGAGATTGAGTGGGCGGTTTCTAGCGCCGCGACCACCACCTCCGCTGCCTCCGGGTCGGCCGCCGCCGCCGCCTCCCCCGTTGCCTCCTCCCCCGCCGCCGCCACCGCCGCCGCCACCCTCTCCGGCTCACTCGCCGCCTTTGCACGACCCGGGCCCGCTATCCCTGAGAAGAAGCTGTAGTTGGTCTACCTCGCGGGCCCGGGGCACTGCCATGGCGGACGGGGCCGGGGGCGCGGGCTCGGTGGGCGGGGGCGGAGCAGGCCAGGCCTCGGCGGGGGCGGCGGCGGGCGCGGCGGGGACTGGCGGAAGCGGTGGAGCCATCAACCCGGCCTCACTGCCTCCCGGAGACCCGCAGCTCATCGCTCTCATCGTGGAGCAGCTCAAAAGCCGGGGCCTGTTTGACAGCTTCCGCCGGGATTGCCTGGCCGACGTGGACACCAAGGTAACTGAGGCCGTTGGAGGCCGGGTAGAGCATGAGGCCACCGAGGTCGCAGCTTGGCTTTTCCAAAGCAAAGAAAAAACAAAAGATACCTGTTAAAAAAAAAAAAGAAATCTCAGCATTGAAGTTCAGACCGCTTGGGGCAGCACAGAGTGCTTTCTGGGTGATGGTACACGTGGGTTCTCTCTTAGCCCTAGCCCTGTTAGGCCAGTCGCTTCTCAAAACTTGGGTATCTGGGTTTATTAGCCTAGAACTCATATTTCGCAAGGTGAGATTCCTTGAAGCCGCACAGTACTATGAGTGGTGACAAAGCCAGATGAGAAAGGGAGAGGAATTTGAATGCACAAGCCTCTGGGATGTAACACAGCCCTTCCTTTTCTCCAGCTAGGGGAATTTGCAGACGAGTTTGCAGTTGAATTAAAGTGCCTTGTTGTAGAGCCAGCACCCTTATTTTCTACCCCCTCGTTAAAGGCATTTGGTGCCTATTTTAGGCACTCCAGCCCCAACCCACCCCTGCGTGCCCCTACTCCCTTCAGTGAAATACAGTCTCACTCTATCTAGTTAATTGCCAAGGTTGTTTGGAGTCTGTAAAGTCTTGTTATTTTGTGTCAGACAGATAGTAGTTGCTGGAATATTCATTTTCCTTTTCAGACATTTCTCTGATTTCGTTGTATATTTAGAAGGTTCTCTTTACTGACTGGCCTCCTCTAGGGACGTGATTTCTCCTGACTGAGCCTGACATGAAAATGTTTTGCTTACCTTAAAGTGAGATTGTGAGCTTAAAACCAGATTTTAAAGATAAAGACCTAGTGCAGTTATTCATTGAACATTTATTGGTCCCAGCACGAGTAAACCACTATCGAGGCTTCAAGCCGTGTACTCTGGTGTAGAGCACGGACCAGTAGGCCAGGTGGATTATACAGTAAGTGATTTATTCTGTCATTTTCCAACATCAAAGACCCAAGTAGAAGTAATGTCCTTAAGCAAAGTGTTTGGTTTTCTTATTTAGAGGCCCAGATACATACTGACAACTCTCACCTTTCTCAGGACTTAGTGTTCTCATTTTCCCATCACCATTCTCCATTCATACTTCTTTTGTTCCAGTAGCTTTTATGTGGCCTACTCAGTGTAGTTGGCATATTGAGCAGCATCTCCTTGGCCTTTCCCGATTCTTAGCAAGTGGTCCTAATTGTTGAAGAGTGTTTTCAGGCGCTTCTTACTGGGTCCTTTGTTGTTTCAGCCCCCTGCTTCACAAAACTGATCCTTGGATCACATTGCCATTTAAGAGCATCATCATTTCCATAGAGTTTATTAGAACTGTATATACTTTTCCCACCCCCACCCCCAGGTTCTTGAAGTATCAAGGGAAAGTGCACCCAAAATATAAAACAAACCGGTGAGTGTAGAGGGGGAATAGATAATACAGTAAAATATTCAAGGCAGGTGTAACCTTTAACCTCATGAACTGAAGTGATTAATCCTTATTGTCTGGGTCTCTTCAGTTCTGATGGAGACATTCACTGTCCTTTGTTCTTTTTTTCATAAACAGTTTGAAATAAAATCCAAGTTAATTATCTTGAGGAGTAGAAGATACTGTATTGGTCACAAGTGACAAGTCTAATTAATTCTAACTCCTGCAGAAATATGTCTTCACTCCTGGAATACAAGGAAGGACCAAATGCACAAACTCTTAGAAGTGTAGGGGGTGCTACACCAGAACCCTGACTTTCATCTCTTAAGTGTTTCACTGTCACTGAGAGCAGAGTCATCCACTTGGTGACTGGAATCTCTTGATTGCCTCTTATAGTGTCTTCCTCTAGAAAGGGATTCTCTGCTCAAGTTAAAACAGTAACAGGGAATGTCTGTATTGGCACTTGCGTCAAGCACTCACTTGACCCAAGTGAGAACGTAGCCCCCATTGCCTTGCCCTTGTGAAGAGGGAAAGACAGTTACCAGGAAAAAGGAGTTACTAGCAGAGAGTATGTGGGTTATCTGTGAGCTTCACTACTCACCCACCTGCTCTCTTTTCACCGGATTTAATGGAGAATCTTAGGTGTGTGATTCAGTCCTCTTGGCCTTTTGGAAGTGTGCACTCATGGTGCATACTCATGGTGCTGATTCCTTCATCAATTTGTTCTCTTGGCGATAGAGTTGCAGGTCAACTACAGTTCAACGCATTGAGGTAGACTGCAGGTTGCCCAGACTCGAGTCCAAGCTCAGGTGGAGTTACAGGCACTCATCCCAGGTCCCACACCAAAAGGGCAGGAGTTACCCAGGACATGCCCTCAGGGGTCCCCAGAGCTCAAGAGGCAGATGACAGCACTGCTGCTGTTAAGGCCTCTGTCACTGCCGCGGACTAGAGAGACCGCATTGCTGACCTCTGCATCAGTGGGGTCGGGACTCACCCTGCCTCCATGGTCGAACACGGGCGGGATGCGGGCTGAAGAGCAGTGCGCTGTCTGGGTTTGGAGAGCCACAGCTGACAGCACCAGAAGGTATCAGAGATGCAGAACCGCCTTATTTGTTCAGGTTTTATTGTTCTGTTCCAAATGGGGTCAAGAACATTTGAGACCAATACATGCCTCTTAGCTCCTTTTGGGGGCTTAAGTTTTTCTTCTCCTCAGCCTCAGCATTCCAGGGCTTTGGCTTCAGTCTCCATCCTGGTGTCATGCCCTCATTCATGCAGAGAACTCTCTGAGCCCTTCTTCGCTGCTGAGAGCACTCTGTAAGGCAGTAATACTTCATTTTTACAAATAGAAATAATTTGACGCCTAAGGGTTGAGTGATTTGTCCAGAGTCAGAGAGGTACTAAATGAAGGAGCTGGACTAGAACCCAGTTCCTTTGATTTGGAAATAGTAGAGTCTAACTCTGGCTTTGCCACATGTTAATCATATGTAGCAAATTATTTACTTTTTCTAAGTTTAAATTTCTAATCTCTAACATGGGGGCAGGAGAGCTACTAGGATGCCCTTCATACAGCAACTTAAAAAGTAAATGAGATAATAGTGTGTGACACTGTGCCTGCCCACTGCAGAGTCAGTTACTTATCTGGGGCTCCTCTGTGCTGCAGGGGCGTCGTCACACGTGTGGCGGAAGTATGTCAGGACTTAAACCTGCGCCTCTCTAAAAGCCATGCCAGAACTTTGGTGTAGGTAACTGACCGTGCTGCTTCTTTTTAATGTTTTAGCCAGCATACCAAAACCTGAGGCAGAAGGTGGATAATTTTGTGTCAACACATCTGGACAAACAAGAGTGGAATCCTACAATGAACAAGAACCAATTGCGAAATGGTCTGAGGCAGAGTGTGGTTCAGTAAGTAAGCAGAATTGAGAACAGAAACCAGCAATGGCAGGTCTGATGCACAGGAGGCTGTGCCCCGTCTCACATGGGGGGCGGGGGGCTGCACGGGCCTTTTGCACATTTCTTCACAGCTTCCTACAAATCCATGATTTCACAATAAAAAGCTTTAAAAAGTTGAAAAGGGGCCCTCCCTGGTGGCGCAGCGGGTTAAAGCACTGCACTGAGAATCTAAAGCTGCTTCCGCATGAGTTCGATTCCCGCCTGCCCCGGAGGTGACCACATGGCGTGGCAGACCTCTCCTGACCCGCCGGCTGCTCCCCTCAGCAGTGTACTTCGTCGATCTGCCTGTTCTGCTCCCCACTCTGTCTCTGGTGAAGCCTCTCACCGCCCCTGAGCCTCTGGCCTGTACCCCAGTTCTTTATGTACAAATAAATCTTTAAAAAAAAAAAAAAGTTGAAAAGGGTTTTTAGTACCAAGCTGGCACTTTCAGGATGGCTGGTCGCTGCTGAACTCTGGATCTCTTTTTAAAAAGAGGCCAAAGGGGCAGGAGTTACCCAGGCTGTGCCCTCAAAGAGGGTCACAAATGCCCATCATTACCCAGTGCATTTCTGTGGTTTAGGGAGCAGACAGGGCACGTGGGTCCTGCGAGGAGGCAGTAGCGGCCACCGGGCAGACTCGTATATGCCTGGACCTCACCAGTGACGCTGATCGCCCTAAGCCTGTTGCAGCATAAGTCACAAGACAGGTAAACTTGCCTTCTAGAGCATATTAAGAAAATAAATCAAAACCCTGAATACTTTGAAATATTTGTAAAGATGCCTTTAGCAGCATGAAGACTGTCAGTGCTCCTGTTACTTTCCAGTGTGCACTGTTGCCCTTCTGGAGGGTACTTGGGGCATTTTTTGCGTAATGTATGGAACAGGATCGGGGACAGAGAACTGGAGCGTGCCTGTAATCGCCATGCAGGTTGGGAAATAGAAGTTTGCTGGCACCCTCCAAACACCCTGCTTCCCCCCTCTCCCAGCTATACCTTCCCCTTCTTGGAAGCTCCCTACTTCTGACTTGTACACTAATCATTGCCTTGCTTTTTAGTCTCAATGTCTAAATTTCCCTGCTTTTTTATTTGATCTTTTATGTATTTCATGTAACCTGAGAACTGGATTGTGGATTTAAAGCTAAACATTTTTCTGTGATTCTTGCTAACATTTTGAATTTGAGGCAAAGCCTAAGATGTTCTGACAGGAAGATCTGCCCCTTGGCTGTGGGGTACTCACCAGGTGAGGCGCTGTGGCCCTCAGCACTGGCAGTCTTGTCCAGTCATTCAGGCCCAGGGCCAGACGCCCACCCTACAATGTCAAGGGCAAAACAGGTTCAGTGTTCTGCCATTGAAGCTAATTACAACTAATAAGTCTTTTAACTGCTTGTTATTTGTTCATTTTGATTCCTATTTTGGTTCCTGGCAAGATTTCATGTTTTTCCCAAACACTTTGACCATCTCCATGAAAGCAAGCTCTTCTCTGGTATTTTGTTTCTCCTGATCAGTCTTATAAACCCTCTAGAGAGCCCTGTGATTGGGATTGAGAGGCAGGCCAGTCCACCAACTTGTGACTAAAGGAGAGGTGGCTTTGCTCTCCAACTGCTCACCTGGCTGTGCTCATCTTCAAGGACACCTAACTGTCTAGGGCAGGGCTCCCCAAAAGCACCCTTGACCCTGCCCTGGCGATGCGTTTCTGTCTGGGGTTGGTAAGCTATTGTCGGAGTCCGGGAGCACTTGATTCCCTGTCCAGCCTAACAGCTCAGGGCCACTTCTGTCTCGCTTGTCACCACTTACCCTCACCATTTATTCCTTGCTTATGCTGGTGCACCATTTCCCTAGTTACTGTTGCCTCTTTTGACCCCCAGGAGCAGCTTGCATAGTCTAAGAAGTCCCAAGTCTAAAGGAACTAAGAAAACCTGTTGTGTGTTTGTGATGATGTTGCAGTGTTCTGTTCTTTGAGGACACTTCAGCTTGAACCTGCACAGACTGTTCCCCAAACCATTCAAGTGTTTACTTCCTGTCACCATAGTGTCCCACTACCCTGTTCCCAGCATCTGAACAGACTGTTTAATTTTGACCAATCTTTGTCGTAGTTTACAAACAAGTTGGTTATATTTTGGCCCATTAGGAACATAGAGCTCATTTATTTCTTATCTGTTTGCTTCCAAGTTCCCTGTATTTTGAGCAACAGCCACAGCTGAAGGCTGTGTTGACTTGTTGGACATGTTATGAACACTCCACGCTCTGACAGGGTTGTGGGGATGAGTGGCCAGGTAGCTGCGAGGGGGCTCCTGCTGCTTTGCTTGGTGAGCGAGCAAGGCTGAAGGAATGGTGTGAGGCTTGAGGCTCGTGGGCTTGGTGTGTGATGCAGGCTTGAGGCTCATCCTTGTCATCAGGTGCTCCGGGTCAGGCTATTTAGTTTTGTTTGGTTCCTTTGTACCAAGCTGGGGTGGTAGTGGATGAGAATCTGAATTGCCCCTCCAGAGCATGACGGTGGGCTGGAGCTCCTTGTGCGTAGGTTGGCCAGACCCATGTGTGGGGAGTTGTCACATGATACTTGCTGAGGGGTGAAATCTGTGTCTCAGAAGAACTAAGTAACACAAGGCCAACTTGTCTTCACAGGTCAGGCATGTTGGAGGCTGGAGTGGACAGAATTATTTCTCAGGTGGTGGACCCTAAACTAAACCATATCTTCAGGCCACAGATAGAACGAGCAATTCATGAGTTCCTGGCAGCCCAGAAAAAAGAAGCTGTGCCAGCACCACCCCCAGAGCCGGAAAGCCAGGACCCCCCAGCTCCATCCCAGGATGCTTCCTAAGGTCTGGTATCCATCTCTGTCAGGGCCATTCCTCCCTGACTGACAGATTAAAGTGGGCAGCAGACAGGTTACTGTCCCTGTCTCGTCAGAGGAGTAGTTGCTGCAAGTGGATTTCAGCTGTTCTGAGTCATTTTCACTGAGAACTAATTAGTAGCATTTCCTGGGAGGTACCTTCTTGTGCCACCAGAGCTAAACATTTGGGCTTTGAGTTGATGCTTCATTAGAAACCAGCTGGGATGATCAGTGTGCACCAGAGAGAGAGATTCCGATGAAAGTCTTGTTTTTCTGAAATTGCTTCAATGAATCTCACCCCTGGACATGAGTTAATTTGCAGCTTGAATATGAAATCAAGTCATGCGTTCTAAGTGGCATCCTACATGGGATTCCAAGTCCGCTGTAAGCCCTGCCTAATTTCCTTTTATTCAGTTGGGGTTTCAATTTACCACTCTTGGTTACTATGGGATTTTTCTGTAGTGAGCACTCCCCTTTTTATATGGAATTAAGCTTAGTCAGCTGTGGATGCACGAAACCTTGCTTTTCTGCAGGGTTGCTGAGAGAGTGGGGAACTTGAGAAGAGATCAGCTAGTAAACAGTAAGCTCGAACTCTGCCATGGTTGGTAACCATCGTGCCTTACCACTTCATTGAACTTTGTTGTTTGTGCGTAATTCTTTAAGTTGTTGACTCAGTGTGAGTGAACAAAGCAAGAGCATTGGCTATTGCAGGTACTCACTCAGGAGTGGATATATCTTTTTGTGCTGTGGAAGCTCTCCATTCCGTTACAGAATGTAAAACATTTCAAATCTTTCTAGTTAAATCATAAATTGCTTGAGGAACATAAAATTAAGTAAATGTTGTTTTGCATTAGAGTGGCATTTTGATTTGATTCTTTCTTTGTAGACTATGCCTCCCACTTTTTGGACGCTCCCTTGAATTAATGGTGAAAAATGGATACAGATACACGGAGTACAACTTCAGAATGAAGAGGAGACAAGGTCACCACTGACTTCAAGATTCAGCCTCGGCTGGAGAGTGGCATCCAGGCTGAACAGGGAACGGTTTGGCATTAGGAAAGGAGAGCCTGTGTGTCCCTTCACGGGCTGCCGTCTGGCTAGCCTGTCCCAAGGGGGTGACACTCAGTAAACACTACAGAGACCGAGAGAAACACTAGCAATTTGGTGGTGTCCTAAAACAGACCTTATACTTGAACTTGGAAGCTGCAGATTTTAGTTTGTGCTTAGGAATAGGAAAAGCAACAATGAAGAAACATAAGCAGTCCCAAAGAGGCCACTTCAAAGACTAACAGCAGGAAAGGTTAGCTGGGGTAGGGTGACGGTGCACACATGGTACTGTTTCTCAGTCACAGACCCCATTGTACACGTGACTGGCACTTGTCACAGCCTCTTGCTGTCATCGTGAGCCACACACATGGGCCGTGTAGCTTCCGTTGCCTTTCCCTGTCAGGCAGCAGAAACACGGGGCCCTCAAATTGTGAGGAAGCACAGGCATAGGGGATGAGGAAACACTTGCAGGCTTTCTGTCCAGGCCTCTTCCTATCCTATAAGGGCTAGTGAGTCTTGAGGTGTTTATTTTATTCTTATGTTTGTGTTTTTTAGAAAAGTGGAAATGGCTTAAGTTTTTGTAATAAAATCATTTGATACGCTTACTCCAAAGTTTCAGCTGACTCATGGAGCCCTTGTGTGTGTAGGGCAGCTTTCCCTCTCTGCGTCCCTTCGTGTTGGTGATGATGGTGAAGGCCAGCTGGCTGGGACTCCCGCTCTAGGTATGCTGGAAACAGGCAGGCTGGGCCCTCCCCTGATTCAGGCCTTAGCTTGCCGTGTACTGTATCGGCTTCTCAAGTTTGAATGTGCAAAATTATCACCTGGGGATCTCTCTATCACCTGGGTATATTCTGATTCTGAAGTTTGGGGTGGGGCTGAGTTCTCAAGATTCTGACCAGCTCTAGGTTGTTGATGCTGTTAACCTCCCAGCAGATGCCTCATGTCACCAGACTTGGAAAATAAGAAAAGCTATTGCAAACCAAGCCTCTTTGGTTTTTTATCTGTTATACAGGGCAGGGTGAGGGGTACCCCAGAACCTCCAGACCTGCCCACTCTAAATAGGTTTCTGACATCAGCTGCATCAAGACAACACTCCAATGCATAAGACCTTTAATGGAAAAGAACTGTAATAAAACTAGTGTACAACAAAGAAAAAATAGTTTCCAAATCAAGCACCCAAAGTTCCCCATCCCTTGTGGGAAAATTCCCAGCTAAACAGGGTTGGCCCAAAGCAGGGCCACTGAGGCCTGAAAGCCTGCCACAAGTTTAACGCACCTCCAGATGGTGATCCACAGAAATAGGTCAGAAACAGCCAGGCAAGTCTGGAAGGAAAAGAGCAAAATCAAGGTTGCAAGTCACCTGGAATTTTTCCTTTTCCTGGGACCACCCAATTCTAGATGCACTGGAAGTTGTTCTGATCAACTTGACTGGTTTAGTTGGTTTCCCATAATGCAAACCCCGCCACCTTTACCATCAGAAGCCCTAAGTGAAGGCTCTACCACCATTTTCAGTGAGATGTGTAGGTAGCATGTGTCCTCATTTTAAAGAAGCTTGCCCCAAGTTGAGGGAAGCTGGCACTTGTGGTTTCTGCTTTCCCTGTACTGGGCACAGTCCATTTCTGGCCAAAGCAGGCTGCTGACCTGATTTTTTAGTCTGGATTCAGCAGCAAAGTCAGCACCCTGAGACCTTTCCCTCTACCGAATTAGCAGGGAGCCAGGGAGCCATAGGCTGAGTAGTCTCATCGCGCCTGTGCTTTGCAAAACAGCTTTGTCAGACTAATGTATCCCATTTCCAAGAATGTGAGCCTTCGGAGGGGTGTTCTTCCCTGGAAGGGAGGGGTGGGGGGTGATCTCTATAGAACTGTTCTCTGTCCACTCTTCCAACATCCTGTCCACCCAATGAAGACAACATGTCAGCCCACAGAGATATACTTTCTAGACACCTAAATGCCCAACTGACCAAGGCATATTTTTTGGTAGGCAGTTTTTGTCCATTTTAGTTCTCTTGCTGTCTCCAGCATCAGAAAAGGCTTAGTAATTTTATCAGGTACACCCTAATCTTAACAGAATGTCACATATGCCCACCAGAGGCCAAGGGGGGTTGGGGGTGAAGTATGAACCCAGTATATGAATCATATTAACTAGAAATGACTTCTTTTGAAAAGATGAGGTTGCAGAAGTACTTGGAGCTCAAGCTGGTTGTTACCCAGCAGGAATACAAACATGGCGCCGGCCCTTGGCATTTTCATCAGGAGCCAGAAATACAGATCTATAGGGCTGCTTCCCCATTTTAAGAGTGGTAGTTAATAAAATAAAATTTTTAAAATGCAGCAGTCATGATCAATACAGCAAGGCTAAAGGGCAGAGCCCACCAGCCTGTCAGGTTGATTGGATTTGGGCCTCCATTGGCAATGAAGGGTGACCCAGGCGGACTGACAAGTTTGAACTTGTTCTGTTAATCGGGAAGAAGACAAAGTAGCAAAGACAGGGAAATGATAGGCTTCAAATTCAGAAAGGTCTGGGTTCAAATCACTGTGGACATGTCTTTTGGCTCTAGTAAGTAAAGTTCTACCGACAGGCCAGAAGGTGAATTGAGACAAACTGCCTGCAGGGCTGGGAAGCTTCTATCCCCTCAGATGCTGGTCACCTGCTAAGCCTTTTTGCATTCTCAACAAACTCCGCATGCTTCAGGTATCAGCTTCTAGAAAAATTGGGTGTTCTTAGAGAAAGTAGAACAATTTCTGCTTCAGGATGGCCAGACCACTGGAAATGGACACCTCAGAAATCCTAACTGTATTCATCCTCAAGCAAGAAACTAGCCTCAGCCTCAGTTTCTCTCCCCATAGTTGGAAAGACCACTGCCATCTGCAAAAGCCCAGAGAAGCACAGAAGTAGCCTCTGTAAGATGTAAATATACCAGCCTTTCAAAGTCATTTGAGCCATGAGTTAGGATTTTAGCTGAAGAAGCCCATGATCTCATTTGAAGCTCAGGCCTTGGACCTGGGGCCACACCAGCAATTGCTGCAGAGGCCCTGCCCTCCTCATCCCATTTGCAAGGCTAAATGCGTGACTCATGTTGCCACCCTGCCTCCTTCGCCCAGCCGGGTCTGTCTCTACCCCTTGACTGAAGTGAAGTTTGTGGCTCCTACGTCTTTCATTTTTCCTTAGCTCTGTTCCCATCACGGGTGTGAAGTACGTGCACTACCACTTTGACCCGGGAATTTTGACAGGTCCATGACAGCAGCGCTTCTGGAAGATAGTCCTCCAACCAGCCAGGCTGCCACCACATTGCAACCATGAGAAATGGAGCCCCCTCAGACCTATTGATTCAGACGAGCCCTTCCAATGATTCTTATGTACCCTAAAAATCATTCACTTTAGTAAACCTAGAACACTGGCAACACTAGTGATGACAGCTTAAATGCAATTATAAATGCAATAATGGATAGATACGTCTCTTTTAACCGTCCCTGAGGTGCAAGACTATGGTGATGGTGGTGATTTAGGTTTTTGTTTTTTTAATAATTATTTCTCCCATGAGTCCCTTACAAGAATTTGCTTTTGGTTGGACACTTAGAAATGGCTGTGTGTAAAACCTAAGCTTAAAACCTAAACTTTCAAAACCTGGAAGCAGCCTTCTGAAGGTTGCTTCAGAAAAACATTCCCAGAACATTGCTGGGAATCCTGCAGAAGGCATAATGCTGTCTGGTAAATACCAACATCTGGACACACAGCAAGGGCCTGGGCCTGGCTTATGCCTGGGGCTGGCACCGAGGCTGGGTTTTCAGAGTTGCTTCTGCTAAGCAAAATAAGTCAGAAGGAAAAAGATAACTATCAGATGGTTTCACTTGTATGTGGAATATAGAGAAACTAAACAAAAGATCTAAAAAAAAGATAATTTGCAAGCTAACCAAACCATAGATTTGAGGCATCAGCAAGAGAGGGGGTGTAAAACAGGAAGGAAGAGCACAAGGATTGTGGTGATGGACCACAGTGCTGTGGTGTGGGAGAACACTGGGGACACCTGTATAAAAATGAAAAATGAGGTAAGAAATAAAATTAGGCCCTCACTGGTGGTGCAGCGAGTTAAAGCACAGCACTGAGAAGCTAAAGCCACTTCCGCATGAGCTCAATTGAGCCCACCTGCCCCGGAGGTGACCACATGGCGCAGCAGACCTCTCCTGACCCGTCCGCTGCTCCCCTCAGCAGTGTACTTTGTCAATATGCCTGTTCTGTTCCCCACTCTGGTGTCTCTTGCCACCCCTGAGTCTCTGGCCTGTACCCCAGTTCTGTATGCACAAATAAATGAATCTTTAAAAAAAAAAAAGTTGCATCTGAAATCAAGTCAGGAGGCCAGGCCCAGTCTCTTTAGCTGGCCTAAGGGTGTGGAGGACAGGGTACAAGGCAGAGCCATGAGCTGCACAGCCAGGCTTTGTTACCACTGGCATTGCCCCTGTTGGCACTTCACTGAGGGCTACCCACAGACCCCAAATTATTAAGAGCTGCAAGCTCTAAGGAGTCCATCTGCACATAAAGACAAAGGAAGCAGACTCTGTGTTAATGAGCTCTAATGGAATTCGAGTGTATAGAGTAGCATATACCTAATAACAGTTTCTCATCAAAGCTTCCAAAATTATCTACTCATAAGAAAATGTCCAGCCAACCAGGGTCAGCCTGAAGAGGGCTACTGAGGCACAAAAGCTTGCCGCCGTCCAAAGTATCTTCTGGTTGGGAACCACAGGAAAGGGGTTCAGAAGCAGATCCCAAAGAGCTGGGACAGGAGGAAACGGCACATTAATAGAGATGTTGCCATTGTCAGCCTCCCCCCTTGGCTCTCACCCGTCTCTCTTAAAATTGTCTCTACCTGTTTCTCCTTCATATGTCTTCTCCAAAGTCCCCAAGTTCATGGCTGTAAGTCAAAGCCAGAGAAGCAAGACTCCCAGAGCTCGCCTGCCTCCCATGTTCTGTAGCTTCATGTGGCCACTCAGCTCTACCTAGTTCTCTCTCTTTTTTAAGATTTATTTTATTTATGCATACAGAGCTGGGATACAGGCCAGAGACATAGTAGGGAGCAGAACAGGCAGATCGATGAAGTACACTGCTGAGGGGAGCAGCGGGTGGGCCGGGAGAGGTCTGCCGCGCCATGTGGGTGGGTCACCTCCAGGGCCAGGGATCAACTCGCACTGAAGCGG